GGGAGGGGGTCTGTACTGGGGGGGGGGGGGGGGGGTGTCTGCAGGGTTAATGTAGGAAGGATTTGTATTGGGGAAGATCTTTGCTGCAGAGGACTGTACTGGTGGGGGTCCAAAATGAGGGGACAGAAAAGGTGGTCTGTACTGATATGAGGGGCTGGGAGCTGGTCTGCGCTGAGGTCATAGGCAGGGAAGGGGATTTGTACTGAAGGGTTAGGCTAGGAGGGGGAATTCAGTACTGTGGGGGGAGAAATGTACTGGAAGGGAGATTGGATCTGTAGGTTGAGATTCGTACTGTAAGGAATGTGAGCTTAGGGGTGATTTGTTCCCGCAGGAGGCAGAATGTTTGATTCTGTGCAGTGGCCTATGCATTGCTGAGACATATATGTGCTTTGTATGCAGTGATTAGACGTAGTTTTTTTTTTTTTTTAACCATAGCTTTTTAAGCCCCTCCCATTTAATAAGCACAATTTGGCCACACCCACAATTTTTGTCTTTATTCCTTTAGTTATTTCTTATGATGTGTGTGTGGAAAGAGATAAAAAATGATCAGCCATGAGTGCCAGGACAAAGGGCAAGATGCTTGGACCTCAAAACATACAAAAGTATTCCAAATGTTGCCATGTGTAAGTCCACTGGGGGCTGTTCCTCCATGATAGCGACCCTCATATTACCCCACTCCCCCCCCCCCCCCATCCTAATATTGTACAACCAGTACAGTCCAGATCATTCTCTGTTATTAATTATTGGTCTACAGGAAACCTGTATAGATCACATGACCAATGAGGATGGAGGAGGACCGGAGTCATATGACTGAGAGGATACTAAACCTCACCCTGGAAATCATCTACCTGCTGACCGGAGAGGTGAGGAGGATTCTGGGAGGTCACATGACATCACTCTCATCTCTATTAATAAAACACAGACCTGACCAGACAGGTGAGGAGGATTCTGGGAGGTCACATGACATCACTCATCTCTATTAATAAAACACAGACCTGACCGGAGAGGTGAGGAGGATTCTGGGAGGTCACATGACGTCACTCTCATCTCTATTAATAAAACACAGACCTGACCGGAGAGGTGAGGAGGATTCTGGGAGGTCACATGACATCACTCTGGTCTCTGTTAATAAAACACAGACCTGACCGGAGAGATGAGGATTCTGGGAGGTCACATGACATCACTTCTATCTCTACTAATAAAACACAGACCTGACCGGAGAGGTGAGGAGGATTCTGGAAGGTCACATGACATCACTCCTATCTCTATTAGTAAAACACAGACCTGACCGGAGAGGTGAGGAGGATTCTGGGAGGTCACATGACATCACTCATCTCTATTAATAAAACACAGACCTGACCGGAGAGGTGAGGAGGATTCTGGGAGGTCACTTGACATCACTCTCATCTCTATTAATAAAACAGAGACCTGACCGGAGAGGTGAGGAGGATTCTGGGAGGTCACATGACATCACTCTGGTCTCTGTTAATAAAACACAGACCTGACCGGAGAGGTGAGGAGGATTCTGGGAGGTCACATGACATCACACAGACCTGACCGGAGAGGTGAGGAGGATTCCGGGAGAGAAAACCAATAGCTGTGCAAACTAAAACTATAACATTCCTAACCCAGAAGAAAAGAAAAAACTTTCACCCTTGAAAGTAATATAATGTGTGAAATCTTTCCTCAATGACACTCTACCCAATCCTAATATCTACACCTCAAAAAAAATAAATTTTTTGATTAAAAAATATATAAATCAAATCGATAAATTCATAAATCAATAAACCAGAAATTCATAAAAGTCCCAAAAATGTCTCTGAAATCTCCAAATATACAAATCAATTTGTTTTCCACCTCCAAATCACATCATGTTATGCTGTTTAATATACTCCAAAGTGTTTATTCCAACGTTCTTGTACCTCAAAAAAATACAAACTAAAAAATAGTGTATTACCTTTTACAAACAAACGCTTGTGCAAAAATAATTGTGTCATGCACACTGCATATCATGTGTATAAAAAGTTCAAAAAAAAAAAAAAATATATATATATAATGTGTATATATATATATATATATATATAAATATACATAAATATGATAAATTAATAAAATTACTATTAACACGTGAACAAACGTGAACACTCCAAAGACAATGACCGTGTTCACCGCTCCAGCTTCTGAAATATTCCAATCAGGTCTTATCCTGGCAGAAACAGCATGTACCCTAAACAAAGATGGCCGCGATCGTACTTCTGGTAAAACGTAAGTGCGTCAGACGTCACGTGGGTCGACACGTTTTGTCACTTCCTGGACTTTATGAAAAAGTCCAGGAAGTGACGAAACACGTCGGAACACGTGACGTCTGACGCACTTACGTTTTACCAGAAGTACGATCGCGGCCATCTTTGTTTAGGGTACATGCTGTTTCTGCCAGGATAAGACCTGATTGGAATATTTCAGAAGCTGGAAGCAGTTTGTTGGAGTTTTAAGATGTAAGTTGATGAATAAAATGTTATATTTGAACACTTTAAAGCCTCTAAATATCTGATTTGCCTTATGAGGAATATGGGAACACGCTAACAGGAATATAAAGGAGCCTGGAGGTGCCAGTATCTATTGTGTGGGAAAAGCTTGACATTACCTTCATAGGGTAATTACTCATTGCTGCACCAGTTGGACTGTTTTCATTTGAGTTGCACACTTTGGAATTCACTATTGGGTTTTATTTATTTATTTTTGCAGTGAATGAGTTCGCTACCACGTTAAGCGGTGAACACGGTCATTGTGTTTGGAGTGTTCACTTTTGTTCACATGTGTTAATAGTAATTTTTTATTAATTTATCATATTTGTGTATATTTATATATATATATATACAGTATATTTTTTTTTTTTTTGAACTTTTTATACACATGATATGCAGTGTGCATGACACAATTATTTTTGAACAAGCGTTTGTTTGTAAAAGGTAATACACTATTTTTAGTTTGTATTTTTTTGAGGTACAAGAACGTTGGAATAAACACTTTGGAGTATCTTATACAGCATAACACGATGTGATTTGGAGGTGGAAAACAAATTGATTTCTATATTTGGAGATTTCAGAGACATTTTTGGGACTTTTATGAATTTATGGTTTATTTATTGATTTATGAATTTATCGATTTGATTTATATATTTTTAAATCAAAAAAATTTTTTTTTTGAGGTATAGATATTAGGATTGGGTAGAGTGTCGTTGAGGATTCTGGGAGGTCACATGACATCACTCTCATCTCTATTAATAAAACACAGACCTGACCGGAGAGGTGAGGAGGATTCTGGGAGGTCACATGACATCACTCTCATCTCTATTAATAAAACACAGACCTGACCGGAGAGGTGAGGAGGATTCTGGGAGGTCACATGACATCACTCTCATCTCTATTAATAAAACACAGACCTGACCGGAGAGGTGAGGAGGATTCTGGGAGTCTAACATGATGTTCCTATTGGTTCCCCAATACAGAGATTTCCTTTTCTGAAGTCAGGTGATCATATGACCATCACAGTGCCTCCATGTGACTCCCTAAACCCTGAGAGACACAACATGCAGAAGATTCTAGAAGTCACCAAGAAGATGATGGAGCTGCTGACAGGAGAGGTGAGCGGTGCCGGGAATTCTGGAATATTCTCCAGTAACAGACAAGGGATGTGTCTGGATGGTGACTGTATCATTGTGTGTGTCAGGTTCCTATAAGGTGTCAGGGTGTCACTGTCTATTTCTCCATGGAGGAGTGGGAGTATTTAGAAGGACACAAGGACCTCTACAAGGACGTCATGATGGACAATTATTGGTATGATGATTTATTTGCATGTTTTTTTATATATTCAGATTGGAAACCTCGGAGATAATATTGTTGTTAAAGAGGAGGATGAGGCGTTCAGTGTGATGAAGGAGCTTTCTGAAGAACAAAGGGACCTGTACAAGAACTTTACGATGGAGCCATCTAGTAATGGCAACCCACCAGACAGATGTCCTCGTCCTCTGTATTCCCGGGATTCCACACAGGAAGGTCACACCATCCCTCACCATCATCAGGTAGGTAGAGTTGAGGGTCGGGAACATAAAGTGATGGAACCCTCTGACATGTGGAGACGATGTGTGGACTCTACAAGATGAGATGTTCTATGTGATCTCACATCATAAATCCTTCTATGTTACAGATGTTGTTTTCTGCCATTCTGTTGGTTTAGGATGAAGATCTGATGAACATGAAAGTTGAGGGTGAAGTAGAAGAGACGTATGTGAGGGATGATCAGCAATATACGGAGGAGGCTGGAATGAGGAGGACATTCATAGAGGAGGACACTCCTACAGAGATCAGCACAGGTGACCAGAATATATTCTTCTCTTATCTCTGCTCTGTTACTGCCCCCCCAGCCCCCATTGGTTCCTGCTCCTCTGACAAGGCGGTGTAAATGTAGAAGTGATCTGGGAGGACCAAAGGCCCTTTGACTGAAGAGGGGAAGAGTCCCAGCTGGTTGGGACATCCACAGAGAACATCTGCTCCCTCCTATCTCCCTGATCCAGATGGAATCTTGATGGAAGTGAACTAACCCTCTCCTATCTATTGATGATGTTTTTCTATTTTTCCAGGACCCGCCATGGAGAAACCCTCAAAGGATCGTCTCACTTTATCTCCAGGTTGTAAAATGGAAGATGAGGACATCCCAGGAGATTGTGCCGGAGAAAAGACAATGAGCTCCACTATGGATGGTGGACTTCCCAGTGTGGAGAGACCATGGAATCCCTCTGACTCTGAGCAACCTCGTACTGTGGGGGATGGGGCCGGGGTTCAGGGGGAGAAGATGTTTTCCTGTCCTGAGTGCGGGAAAAGTTTTAGCTCCGAATTAAATCTAACTCTGCATCAGAGATTTCACACGGGGGAGAAGCTTCTTTCCTGTTCTGAGTGCGGGAAATATTTTCTCCATAAATCAAAACTGATTGAACATTACAGATTACACACAGGCGAGAAGCCGTATCCCTGTTCTGAGTGCGGGAAATGTTATCAACGGAAATTCAACCTTCTTTTACATCAAAGATCTCACACGGGGGAGAAGCCTTACTCCTGTCCTGAGTGCGGGAAGTGTTTCTCAAAGAAGTTCTTCCTTTCCCTACATCAGAGAACCCATACAGGTGAGAAGCCTTATGCTTGCCCCGAGTGCGGGAAATGTTTTGCACAGAAGTCCTCTCTTTCCAGACATCAGAGTTTTCACACAGGCCAGAAACCATATTCCTGCCCCGAGTGCGGGAAATGTTTTACACAGAAATCAGACCTTGTCGCACACAAAAGAACTCACTCAGGGGAGAGGCCGTATTACTGCAGTGATTGCGGAAAATCATTTTCACAGAAGTCCTGTCTTTCCAGACATTGGAGATCACACATGGGTGAGAAGCCATATAGCTGCCCTGAGTGCGGGAAATGTTTTACTAAGAAATCAGAACTTGTTATACATAAAGAATCTCACTCAGTGGATAATCTGTATAACTGCACCAAGTGCATGAAGTCCTGTGAGCACCTTCAGTGCATGGGTCTGGGTGCACCGGATCATGGAGATAAAGGAAAAGACCCCACTTAACTATTGACGCAATGCGTAGGGTAGAGTTAAGGTCACAGCATCACATTGTTGGGAGGAGTTAGGACACTTGAATACATGACAACAGCAGTGCCTAGCCTCAAATCAAGTGACAGGAACCACATCTGCAAATATCCTGAGTGCATGAAATTCTGCGAGCCCCCTCAATGCACAAGTTGGGGTGCACTGCATCCTGGGAGTGTTTTTAATAAAATACTTTCATATGGAAAGCACCATGGAGCTGCTGTATTGTTTATTCCGAGCATGGAACCCGGAGACCTTTCCTCCTCTCTGCTATCCTCCATACCCCAAACCCTCCTTTCTGCTATTCTCCATGCCCCAAACCCCCCTCTCTGCTATCCTCCATACCCCAAACCCCCCTCTCTGCTATCCTCCATACCCCAAACCTCCCACTCTGGTATCCTCCATACCCCAAATCACCCTCTCTGCTATCCTCCATACCCCAAACCCCCCTCTGCTATCATCCATATCCCAAACCCCCCTCCGCTATCCTCCACACCCCAAACCCTCCTCTCTGCTATCCCCACACCCCAAACCCTCCTCTCTGCTATCCTCCACACCCCAAACCTCCCTCTCTGCTATCCTCCACACCCCAAACCCCCCTCTCTGCTATCCTCCACACCCCAAACCCCCCTCTCTGCTATCCTCCATACCCCAAACCTCCCACTCTGGTATCCTCCATACCCCAAACCCTCCTCTCTGCTATCCTCTATACCCCAAACCCACCTCTATGCTATCCTCCATACCCCAAACCCACCTCTGCTATCCTCCATACCCAAACCCTCCTCTCTGCTATCCTCCATACCCCAAACCTCCCTCTCTGCTATCCTCCATACCCAAACCCTCCTCTCTGCTATCCTCCATACCCCAAACCTCCCTCCCTGCTATTCTCCATACCCCAAACCCTCCTCTCTGCTATTCTCCAAACCCTCCTCTCTGCTATCCTCCATACCCCAAACCCTCCTCTCTGCTATCCTCCACACCCCAAATCCCCCCTCTCTGCTATCCTCCATACCCCAAACCTCCCTCTCTGCTATCCTCCATACCCCAAACCTCTCTCTCTGCTATCCTCCATACCCCAAACCTCCCTCTCTGCTATCCTCCATACCCCAAACCTCCCTCTCTGCTATCCTCCATACCCCAAACCTCCCTCTCTGCTATCCTCCACACCCCAAATCCCCCTCTCTGCTATCCTCCATACCCCAAACATCTCTCTCTGCTATCCTCCATACCCCAAACCCTCCTCTCTGCTATCCTCCATACCCCAAACATCTCTCTCTGCTATCCTCCATACCCCAAACCCTCCTCTCTGCTATCCTCCATACCCCAAACCCTCCTCTTGCTATCCTCCATACCCCAAAACCTTTTGTCTGCTCACGTTGACACCCCAAACCCCCCTTTTTGGTCACCTGTGTATCCCAAATCCCTCTTTCTGCTCACCTCCATACCGAAACCCCCCTCTCTGCTCACTTGCATACTAAAGATTCCCCTCTCTGCTTACCTTCTCCCCCCCCCCCTTTCTTCTCACCTCCACACCCCCTTTTCTCCTCACCTCCATACCCTAAAACCCCCTTCTCTGCTTACCTCCACACCAGACTTTCTGCTCATCTCCATTACCCAACCCCCCCCCCCCCCCCCCGCTCCCCTACATACCACAAATTCCCCACTCTGCTCACCTCCAAACCCCCCTTTCTGCTCATCTTCACACCCCAAACCCCCCTTTCTGCTCATCTCCACACCTCGAACCCCCCTTTCTGCTCATCTCCACACCCCAAACCCCCCTTTCTGCTCATCTAGACACCTCAAACCCCCCTCTCTGCTCACCCTCAAATCCCGCCCTCTGCTCACCTTCACACCCCAAACCCCATCTCTCTGCTCACCTCAAAATCCCCTTCTCTGCTCACCCTCAAGTCCCACTCTCTGCTCACCTCCAAACCCCCCTTTCTAACCACCCTCAAATCCCGCTCTCTGCTTACCTCCCACCACCCTTTCTGCTCACCTCCATTACCCAACTCCCCCCCCCCCCCCCCCCCGCTCATCTACATATCACAAATTCCTCATTCTGCTCACCTTCACACCCCAAACTACCCCTCTCTTCTTACCTCCAGACGCCCCCCTCTCTTTTCACCTCCATACCCAAAACCCCCTTTCTACTCACCTCCATTAGCCAAACCGCCCTTTCTGCTCACCTCCACACCCCAAAACCCCTATTTCTGCTCATCTCCACTACCCCTCTGCTCCCCTCTGTACCACAAACCCCCCTCTCTGCTCACCTTCACATCCCCTCTCTGCCAACCTCTGTAACCTGACCCCCTTTGCTCACCTCCACACGGAGGGGGGGGGGGGGGGTTGTTATCAGCGGGGTCCCAGTACAGGCAGGCACAAGAGAGAGGCCAAAAAAAACCCAAAGCAAGCATCAGTTATAAAAGCACACAATGGGACAACGTAGTCCATTCAACTTATAAAATACGGAAGTACATTGACCTGTCTTGCTTACAATGGACCAGTAATGAATGCCAATCAGCCATAACTTTATGACCACTGACAGGTAAAGTGAATAACATTGCTTCACTCTGCAACACCTGAAAGTGGGTGGGATTTATTAGGCAGCATGAACATGTTGTCCCTGAAGGAAAAAAAATGGGCAAGCGTAAGGATCTGAAGGGCCAAATTGTAATGTATAGGTGACTGGGTCAGAGCAACTCCAAACCTGCAGCTTTTGTGAGATGTTCCCGGTGGACAGGAACGACCAAAAGTGATCCAACGAAGAAAAACTGGTCAATCGAAAGACAGGATCATGGGCGGCCAAGGCTCACTGATGCACATGGGGAGCGAAGGCTGGCCTGTGTAGTCCGATCCAATAGAAGAGCTACTGGAGCTCAGATTACCAAAAAAAAGTGAACGCTGTTTCTGGTAGAAAGGTGTCATAATACACACAGAGCATCGCAGTTTGTTGCATATGGGGCTTTGTAGGTGCAGACCAGCCAGAGTGCCCATGCTGACCCAGGTCCACAGCCAAAAGTCCCTACAATGGGTGCATGAGCATCAGAATTGGACCACAATGGAAGAAGGTGGCCTGGCCTGATGAATCCAAGAATGGTTTGAGGAACACAATGAGTGCAAGGTGCTGACTAATGGAAGAAAAAGGTCTGGTCTGATGAATCCAAGAATGGTTTGAGGAACACAATGAGTTCAAGGTGCTGACTGATGGAAGAAGGTGGTCTGGTATGATGAATCCAAGAATGGTTTGAGTAACCAATGAGTGCAAGATGCTGACTGATGGAAGAAGGAGGTCTGGTCTGATGAATTCACAAATGGTTTGAGGAACACAATGAGTTCAAGGTGCTGACTGATGGAAGAAGGAGGTCTGGTCTGATGAATCCAAGAATGGTTTGAAGAACACAATGAGTGCAAGGTGCTGACTAATGGAAGAAAAAGGTCTGGTCTGATGAATCAAAGAATGGTTTGAGGAACACAATGAGTTCAAGGTGCTGACCGATGGAAGAAAGTGGTCTGGTCTGATGAATCCAAGAATGGTTTGAGTAACACAATGAGTTCAAGGTGCTGACTGATGGAAGAAGGTGGTCTGGCATGATGAATCCAAGAATGTTTTGAGGAACACAATGAGTTCAAGGTGCTGACTGATGGAAAGAATTCAAGGTGCTCTGGCTGGCTTGATGAATCCAAAAATGGTTTGAGGAACACAATGAATTCAAGGTGCTGACTGATGGAAGAAGGTAGTCTGGCCTGATGAATCCAAGAATGGTTTGAGGAACACAATGAGTTCAAGGTGCTGACTGATGGAAGAAGGTGGCATGGTCCGATGAATCCAAGAATGGTTTGAGGAACATAATGAGTTCAAGGTGCTGACTGATGGAAGAAGGAGGTCTGGGCTGATGAATCCAAGAATGGTTTGAGGAACACAATGAGTTCAAGGTGCTGACTGATGGAAGAAGGAAGTATGGTCTGATGAATTCACAAATGGTTTGAGGAACACAACAACGAGCTTGAGGTGTTGACTCGGCCTCCAAATTCTTCAAATCTCAATACAGTTAATCATCTGTGGGATGTACAGGTAAAACAAGTCAGATCCATTAAGTACACCTCACAACTTTCAGGATTTAAAGGATCTGCTACTGATGGCTTTGTGCCAGATACCTTAGGGTACCTTCAGAGGTCCAGGGGAGTCCATGCCTCAATGGTTTATTGTAGCTGGTCATAAGGATGTGGCTGATCCGTGTATAGTACTGAAAAACATGGGTAATTAGGGTCACCTACACAAGGGGTCACACTACCAGATGGTTCTCGGGGCTGCAGTTCTTCTGAGCTCCACAAGGTGGTGATCTCACTTCTACCCAGACAGGAAGTCTCTGCAAGACAGGAAGTGATGTCAGATTATAAATAAGTTCCAGGTGAGAGGTGAGTCGGGAAGGAAGTAGAGAAGAGACATTGGTGGAAGTGGCAGCAGAGGAGGTAATAAGATCTTATTTTCATCCAGTAACCCCTCCGTCCTCTTCCTCCATCGTCTTTCTCCACCGTCACGCCCGTCCTCTCCCTACCCAGTCAGGCCCGTTGTCTTCCTCCACCGTTGCGTCCGTCCTCTTCCTCCACCGTCGCGTCCGTCCTCTTCCTCCACCGTCGCGTCCGTCCTCTTCCTCCACCGTCGCGTCCGTCCTCTCTTCCCCACCGTCGCGTCCGTCCTCTTCCTCCACCGTTGCGTCCGTCCTCTTCCTCCACCGTCGCGTCCGTCCTCTTCCTCCATCGTCATATCCATCCTTCCTCCATCGTCCATTGAATTTACGATCCAGCAGGCAATGGCGTACTTGGCGTCTTGCGGTCCATGTTGCTGTCAGACAGGCAGAAGCAGCACTGTAGGTCTCGTATTATAGGCATTGCAGCGCCACTTCTATGTCCTGACAGCGGCACATCAGATCGAAGGCGAGGTTCCTCCTCAACTCTGGTTACATGACAGCTGAGGAGGAGGACTTCCCTTATCCTAAACTGCCGCTGATCGTTTACAATGTGTGCACTAGAAGGGGGGTCTGTACTGGGGGATTGACTGGCAGAGGGTCTGTAGTAGATGGTTAGGATGAGAAGGGGGTCTGTACTGAGGGGACAGGTCAGAAGAGGGCACTCTATTGAGTATAGAGGGGTTAGGCTGAAGGGAGAACGTCCAACACTCTGAACTGCCACTCATAGAAAGATCTGCGTGAAAGGGGAGTCTGCACAGGAAGGTTAGGTTTGGGGGGTTCTGTAATGGGGGTGTCTGTACTAAGGGGTTAAGTGGAAGGGTTGGCCTGTGTTTGGAAATCTGAGGGTTTATGCTCAGAGGGGGTGTCTGTTCTGAGAAGTTAGGATGGGAGTGGGGGATCTGTACTGAAGGGTCTATACTGAGGAGCCAGGCTGGAAGGGGGAGGTGTCTGTACTGAGGGGTCATGCTGGGAAGTGGAACTGTACTGGGGGGGGGTCTGTAATGAGGGGTCTATATTGAGGAGCCAGGTTGTAATGGGGAGGTGTCTGTACTGGGGGGTCTGTAATGAGGGGTCTATACTGAGGAGTCAGTCTGGAAGGGGGAGGTGTCTGTACTGAGGGGTCATGCTGGGAAATGGAACTGTACTAGGGGGTCTGTAATGAGGGGTCTATACTGAGGAGCCAGGTTGTAATGGGGAGGTGTCTGTACTGGGGGGGGTCTATACTGAGGAGCCAGGCTGGAAGGGGGAGGTGTCTGTACTTAGAGGTCTATACTGAGAAGCCAGGCTGGAAGGGGGGGGGGGGTGTCTGTACTGAGGGGTCATGCTGGGAAGTGGAACTGTACTGGGGGGTCTGTAATAAGGGGTCTATACTGAGGAGCCAGACTGGAAGGGGGAGGTGTCTGTGCTGAGGGGTCATCCTGGGAAGTGGAACTGTACTGGGGGGTCTGTAATGAGGGGTCTATGCTGAGGAGCCAGTCTAGAAGGGGGAGGTGTCTGTACTGAGGGGTCATGCTGGGAAATTGATTGTACTGGGAGGTCTGTAATGAGGGGTCTATACTGAGGAGTCAGTCTTGAAGGGGGAGGTGTCTGTACTGAGTGGTCATGCTGGGAAATGGAAATGTACTGGGGGATCTGTACTGAGGGGTCTATGCTGAGGAGCCAGGCTGGAAGGGGAGGTGTCTGTACTGAGGGGTCATGCTGGGAAGTGGAACTGTACTGGGGGGTCTTTAATGAGGGGTCTATATTGAGGAGCCAGGTTGGAAGGGGTCTGTACTGAGGGGTCATGCTGGGAAGTGGAACTGTACTGGGGGTTCTATACTGAGGAGTCAGGCTGGAAGGGTGAGGGGTCTGTACTGAGGGGTCATGCTGGGAAGTGGAACTGTACTGGGGGGTCTGTAGCAAGGGGTTAGGATGGGAGGGGGGCCTGTACTGGGGACATCTGTACTAAATGGTTAGGCTGAAAGAAGGGGGTCTGTACTGGTGGATGAAGCTGGAGGATGGAGATCTGAACGCGGGGTAGTCTGTAGGGTTAGGGTAGGGAGGATCTGTGTTGGGGAAGGGAGTTTGTACTGAGGGGTTAGGCCGGAAGGGGGGATTCAGCACTGTGGGGGAGGAGCTATGCTGGGAGAGAGATTGGATCTATGGGGTCAGAATTGTACTGTAGGATAAATGGGCTTGGGGGGGATTTGTACTGGCAGGAGGGGGGTTTGTTGGCTGTATTCTGTGCAGTGACCTCTGTGTTCTGCACTCCTGAACCTGTAGGTATAATACTGGGAGATATGTGTGCTGTGTATACAGAGCAGAGGCTCAGGTTTTATTTACCTATGGCTATTTAAGCCCCTCCCATTGTTAGCATAATTAGGCCATGCCCACAATTTGTCTTTATTACATTTTTTCTGTATGGGGGTGTTGAAAAATGATTGGCCCCCGGGTGCTAGATAGCTAGGTGCACCAATGCTGGCAAGCCCAAGGGCAACAAGCTGCTGGACCCCAAAATCACAGCAAACCTTAAACTGAATGTCCCTCTGTGTGTAATCCCACTGAGGGCCGTTATTCCATGATAGAGACCCTCATATTATCCCCCCCCTTCCTAATATCGTACAACCAGATCATTCTCTGTTATCAATTATTGGTCTACAGGAAACCTGTATAGATCACATGACCAATGAGGATGGAGGAGGACCGGAGTCACATGACTGAGAGGATACTAAACCTCACCCTGGAGATCATCTACCTGCTGACCGGAGAGGTGAGGAGGATTCTGGGAGGTCACATGACATCACTCTCATCTCTATTAATAAAACACAGACCAGACCGGAGAGGTGAGGAGGATTCTGGGAGGTCACATGACATCACACAGACCTGACCGGAGAGGTGAGGAGGATTCTGGGAGTCTAACATGATGTTCCTATTGGTTCCTCAATACAGAGATTTCCTCTTCTGAAGTCAGGTGATCATATGACCATCATAGTGCCTCCATGTGACTCCCTAAACCCTGAGAGACACAACATGCAGAAGATTCTAGAAGTCACCAAGAAGATGATGGAGCTGCTGACAGGAGAGGTGAGCGGTGCTGGGAATTCTGGGACATTCTCCAGTAACAGACAAGGGATGTGTCTGGATGGTGACTGTATCATTGTGTGTGTCAGGTTCCTATAAGGTGTCAGGGTGTCACTGTCTATTTCTCCATGGAGGAGTGGGAGTATTTAGAAGGACACAAGGACCTCTACAAGGACGTCATGATGATTGATAATCACTGATAGTATCATTAGGATCTGTACATTATCTGTATTGTTACCATTGATGTCATTTTATTATATATTCAGAGTGGAAACCTGAGAGATTCTAAAGTTGAGGTTAAAGAAGCGATAAAAAGGAGGAGGAGGATGAGGATGGGGGGATGGAGGAGTCAACATTTCTAAAAGTTCAAGTCAGGTCAATGATTGGCAATTATTGTTTTGATGATTTATTTGCATGTTTTTTTATATATTCAGATTGGAAACCTCGGAGATAATATTGTTGTTAAAGAGGAGGATGAGGCTTTTGGTGTGATGAAAGAGCTTTCTGAAGAACAAAGGGACCTGTACAAGATGGAGCCACCTAGTAATGGGAACCCACCAGAGAGATGTCCCCGTCCTCTGTATTCCCGGGATTCCACACAGGAAGGTCACACCATCCCTCACCATCATCAGGAAGGTGGTTTCAGTCATGGGAACCCACCACAGAGATATCCCCGTCCTCTGTATTCCCGGGATTCCACACAGGAAGGTCACACCATCCCTCACCATCATCAGGAATGTGGATCCAGTCATGGGAACCCACCAGAGAGATGTCCCTGTCCTCTGTATCCCCGGGATTCCACACAGGAAGGTCACACCATCCCCCATCATCATCAGGTAGGTGGATCCAGTCATGGGAACCCACCAGAGACATGTCCCCGTCCTCTGTGTCCCAGTATTCCACACAGGAAGGTCACACCATCCCTCACCATCATCAGGTAGGTGGAGTTGAGGGTCGGGACATAAAGTGATGGAACACTCTGACATGTGGAGACGATGTGTGGACTCTACAAGATGAGATGTTCTATGTGATCTCACATCATAAATCCTTCTATGTTACAGATGTTATTTTCTGCCATTCTGTTGGTTTAGGGTGAAGATCTGATGAACGTGAAAGTTGAGGGTGAAGTAGAAGAGACGTATGTGAGGGATGATCAGCAATATACAGAGGAGGCTGGAATGAGGAGGACATTCATAGAGGAGGACACTCCTACAGAGATCAGCACAGGTGACCAGAATATGTTCTTCTCTTATCTCTGCTCTGTTACCGCCCCCCCAGCCCCCATTGGTTCCTGCTCCTCTGACAAGGCGGTGTAAATGTAGAAGTGATCTGGGAGGACCAAAGGCTCTTTGACTGAAGAGGGGAGGAGTCCCAGCTGGTTGGGACATCCACAGAGAACATCTGCTCCCCCCTATCTCCCTGATCCAGATGGAATCTTGATGGAAGTGAACTAACCCTCTCCTATCTATTGATGATGTTTTTCTATTTTTCCAGGACCCGCCATGGAGAAACCCTCAAAGGATCGTCTCACTTTATCTCCAGGTTCTAAAATGGAAGATGAGGACATCCCAGGAGATTGTGCCGGAGAAAAGACAATGAGCTCCACTATGGATGGTGGACTTCCCACTGTGGAAAGACCATGGAATCCCTCTGACTCTGAGAAACCTCGTACTGTGGGGGATGGGGCCGGGGTTTTATGTGCCGGAGAAAAGACAATGAGCTCCACTATGGATGGTGGACTTCCCAGTGTGGATGGACCATGGAATCCCTCTGGCTCTGAGTATCCTCGTACTGTGGGGGATGGGGCCGGGGTTCAGGGGGAGAAGAGATTTTCCTGCACTGAGTGTGGGGAAAGTTTTAGCTCTGATTTAAGTCTTTCTGTACATCAGAGAACTCACACAGGTGAAAAGCTTCATTCCTGTTCTGAGTGCGGGAAATGTTTTCTCCATAAATCAAAACTTGTCACACATTACAGATTACACACAGGTGAGAAACCGTATTCCTGTTCTGAGTGCGGAAAATGTTATCAACGAAAATTCGACCTTCTAGTACATCAAAGATCTCACACGGGGGAGAAGCCTTACTCCTGTCTTGAGTGCGGGAAATGTTTCTCAAAGAAGTTCATTCTTTTCATACATCAGAGATCTCACACAGGCGAGAAGCCTTATGTCTGCCCTGAGTGTGGGAAATGTTTTGCACAGAAGTCCTCTTTTTCCAGACATCAGAGTTTTCACACAGGCCAGAAGCCGTATTCCTGCCCAGAGTGTGGGAAATGTTATACGCAGAAATCGGACCTCGTCACACATAGAAGAACTCATTCAGGCGAGAGGCCGTATTCCTGCACTGAGTGCGGAAAATCATTCTCACAGAAGTCCTACCTTTCCAGCCATCAGAGATTGCACATGGCCAAGAAGCCTTATGGCTGCCCTGAGTGCGGGAAATGTTTTACACAGAAATCAGATCTTGCTATACATAAAGAATCTCACTCGGGAGAAGCCGTTTTACTGTACTAAGTGCATGAAATCCTGTGAATGACACCAGTGCCCGGGTCTGGGTGCGCCTTTAATAAATTCCTTTTTATACGGGAAGCACCATGCTGTATGCTTTATCCCGAGCATGGAACCTGGAGACCTCTCTGATGACACCCTAGAGAGCCTTTCCCAACTGTTTTGACATGGAGGAACCCTTGAAGTAATTTTCCGGGCTCAGGAAACCTTTACTAATTTCTATATTAATATTTTCCCGGTACATTAGTGTGATGGCCACTTAGACCTGGGGTCTCCAAACCTTCTAAACCAAGGGCTGGAATCCTGTCCTTCAGACCTTAGGAGGGCCTGAGTGGCCGGTGGGAGTAGAAAATGTCCCAGCGTCAGTAGTGCTTGTAGTCAGTGGAAGGAGGAATGGTGCCCCATCATTGGTATCAGTGGGGGGAATATTGCCCCATCATTGGTGTCAGTGGGAGGAATAGTGTCCATCATTGGTATCAGTGGGAGGAATAGTGCCTCATCATTGGTGTCAGTGGAAGGAATAGTGCCCCATCATTGGGGTCAGTGGGAGGAATAGTGCCCCATCATTGGTGTCAGTGGGAGGAATAAATGGCCCATCATTGGTGTCAGTGGAAGGAATAGTGCCGCATCCTTGGTATTGGAGAAATAGTGTCCCATCATTGGTGGCAGTGGGAGGAATAGTGTCCCATCATTGGTATCAGTGGGAGGAATAGTGCCCCATCATTGGTGTCAGTGGAAGGAATAGTGCCCCATCATTGGTGTCAGTAGAAGGAATAGTGCCCCATCATTGTCAGTGGAAGAAATAGTGGCCCATTATTGGTGTCAGTGGAACGAATAGTGCCCCATCATTGGTATTAGTGAAAGAAATAGTACCTCCTTGTTGGTATCAGTGGGAGGAATAGTGCCCCATCATTGGTGTCAGTGGGGGGAATAGTGCCCCATCATTGGTGTCAGTGGGGGGGAATAGTGCCCCATCATTGGTGTCAGTGGAAGGAATAGTACACCGAGGGCCGGACAGAGACAAGCAAAGGGCCGCAGTTTGGAGCCCAATGACTTAGGGCAGGGGTGGGCAACTGTGGCCCTCCAGCTGTTACAAAACTACAAGTCCCATCATGCCTCTGCCTTTGGGAGTCATGCTTGTAACTGTCAGTTTTGCAATGCCTCATGGGACTTGTATTTCTACAACAGCTGGAGGGCCACCAGTGACACCCCTGACTTAGAGTATTGTCCTTTACAGCATTGGGAAGATCCCCACCCTTAAAGAAAGACTTCCTCCACAGTGGTCACTCATCTGAGATGCAGAAGTTACTCATTGCTCATGGAACCTCCTGAAGGAACCCTGGGATTTATGACAAACTCTTTGACCCCTCCCCCTCCAAAGGATTCCCCTCCCTCCTCCCCCTCTAGAGGATTCCCCCGCTCCCCTCCCCCCTTCCTGACCAGGCCATTTTTTTGCGCCACGGCGCTGCGTTACTTTCCATGACAATTGTGCGGTCATGCATCGCCCCACCCAAATGAAATTTCCGTCCTTTTTTTCCCACGAATAGAGCTTTCTTTTGGTGGTATTGGATCCCCTCTGCATTTTTTTTATTTTTTGTGCTATAAATAAAAAATCCTGATAATTTAAAAAAAAAAAAACATTTTGGACTTTTATAAAAAAAATTATAAAAATCAAATTTCGTCATAAATTTCGGCCAAAATGTCTCCCGCTCCATGTCTTCACTGAAAAAAAAATCCTGATACGTGTAAATGAATTGGTTTACGTGAAAGTTATCGCATCTACAAATGACGGGATAGATACTGGGATTTTATTGTTTTTTTTCTACTAGTAATGGCAACGATCAGCGACTTATAGCGGGACTGCATCGGGCATTCTGACACCAATACAGTGATCATTGCTAAGAAAAAGCCCTGACACTGTCCTAATGGCACTGGGCAGGAAGAGGTTAACATCTGGGGCGATCAAAGGGTTAACTGTGTGCTGTGTTACTAGGGAGACATGCTGTGCACAGAAATACAAAGCAGCATGTCCTTGCCGGCAGGAGAGATCTGTTTTGTTTACACACAGGTCTCTCCCCTGCCAGTTCTACACAGCGATCGCCGGGTGCTGACGGGGAATCTCCGGCTGGGACCCGGTGATTGACAGCCGTAGCCACCAGCTCCTGTTGGCTTCAGTGGGGGCACCCAAACCGTGGTTACTCATGTGAGATGGGGAAGATGCTCATTGTTCAAGGAACCCCTATCAACGTCTGACGGAACCCAAGGGTTCCTTCCACAACCACCATGCCAGGGTTGTGGGGAAGAGGATCTTTATCAATATGGAGATAAGTTGCTTTGCTTCAGGTGGGGGGGGGGGGGTCAAATATCATTATTTTTTTTTTTTTAATTCAGCTCCTGTTGGCTTCAATGTGGGCACCCAAACAGTGGTTACTCATCTGAGATGGGGAAGTTGCTCATTGTTTAAGGAACTCCTATCAACTTCTAGGGTTCCATCCACAGACCTCCACAACCACCCTGCTAGGGTTGTGGGGAAGAGGACCTTCATCAACATGGAGATAAGTTGCTTTGCTTCAGGGGGGTCAAATATTATGTTTTTTAAAAAATTCAGCTCCTGTTGCTTTCGTTGGGGGCACCCAAACAGTGGTTACTCATCTGAGATTGGGAAGTTGCTCATTGTTTTAGGAACCCCTATCAACTTCTGAAGGAACCCAAAGGTTCCATCCACAACCACCATGCCAGGGTTGAGGGGAAGAGGACCTTTATCAACATAGAGATAAGTTGCTTTGCTTCAGGTGGGGGGAGGGTCAAATATCATTACTTTTTAAAAAAAATTCAGCTCCTGTTGGCTTCAATGGGGACACCCAAACAGTGGTTACTCATCTGAGATGAGGAGGTTGCTCATTGTTCAAGGAATCCCTATCAACTCCTAGGGTTCCATCCACAGACCTCCACAACCACCCTGCCAGGAGGGTTGTGCGGTAGAGGACCTTCATCAACATGGAGATAAGTTGCTTTGCTTCAGGTGGGGGGAGGGTCAAATATCATTACTTTTTTTTTAACAATCCTGTTGGCCTCAATGGGCGCACCCAAACAGTAGTTGCTCATGAGATGGAGAAGTTGCTCAAAGCACCCCTAACAACCTCAGAAGTAACCCTAGGGTTCCACGGAACTCTGGTTGAAAAAGGTTATCCTAGAGAGTCTGGACTGGGAATTGAATCCCTGCAAGTGGTTAAAGCGTTAATAGAGAAGGTGAACACACATTTGTGGTGTTACTAAGAGTTTATCAAGTGGAAATAAAGAAAGATCAAATAACTGGATCAGGATTCCAGATGGATTAGGGCTCAGAAGACATTATTGATTAACTATGTGTGTTCTTTAATATGCTATGAAGGACTACTTAGTACAGGAAGGAGTCTTATCTTCCTTATTGGATAAATCCATTTTGCAAAGTGTTTGAATCACGTAGGAGCACTGGCTTTTTTTTTATTGTTGACATTTTTCTGAAGCTTGACGAAGAGGTCCTGTGTAGCTCCGGTTAGATTTATTCTAGTTGATTGCAAAGCCTGAATATACACTATATTGCTAAAAGTATTGGCCTCGCCCTCCCAATCATGTGATTCAGGTTCTCCAATCTCCTCCATGGCCACAGGTGTATACAATCAAGCCCCTAGGCATGCAGACTGCTTCTACAAACATTGGTGAAAGAATGGGTCTCTCTCAGGAGCTCAGTGACTCCAAGCGTGGTCCCGTGATAGGTGGCCACCTGTGCAATAAGTCCATCCATGACATTTCCTGACTACTAAATATTCCTCGCTCAACTGTTAGTGGGATTATAACAAAGTGGAAGCAACTGGTAACAACAGCCACTCAGCCACCAAGTGGTAGGCCACGTCACATGACAGGGCAGGGTCAGCGCATGCTGAAGCGCACAGTGCACAGAAGTCGCCAACTGTCTGCAGAGTCAAAAGCTAAAGACCTCCAAACTTGGTGTGGCCTTCAGATGAGCACAACAACAGTGCGTAGAGAGCTTCATGGAATGGGTTTCCATGGCCGAGCAGCTGCATCCAAGCCTTCCATCACCAAGTGCAATGCAAAGCGTCGGATGCCGTGGTATAAAGCACGCCGCCACTGGACTCAAGAGCAGGGGGGACGTGTTCTCTTTAGTGACCAATCACGCTTCTCTGGCAATCCGATGGACGTGTCTGGGTTTGGCGGTTGCCAGAAGAACGGTACTTGCCTGTTTGTATAGCGCCAAGTGTAAAGTTTGGTGGAGGGGGGGTTATGGTGTGGGGTTGTTTTTCAGGGGTTGAACTTGGCCCCCTAGTTCCAGTGAAGGAAACTCTTAAGGCGACCTTTTGGACAATTTCATGCTCCCATTTTTGTGGGAAGAGTTTGGGGATGGCCCCTTCCTGTTCCAACATGACTGCACACCAGTACACAAAAGCAAGGTCCATAAAGACATGGAGGAGCCAGTTTGGGGTGGAGGAACTTGACTGGCCTGCACAGAGTCCTGACCTCAACCCCATAGAACACCTTTGGGATGAATTAGGGCGGAGACTGCGAACCAGGCCTCCTCCCTCGACATCAGTGCCTGACCTGACAAATGTGCTTCTGGAAGAATAGTCCAACCTTCCCATAGACACCCTCCTAAACCTTGTGGACGGCCTTCCCAGAAGAGTTGAAGCTTTTTACAGCTGCAAAGGGCGGGGTCAACTCAATATTGAACCCTATGGACTATGACTGAGAGGTCATTAAAGGTCATGTGCGTGGAAAGGCAGGAGGCCCAATACTTGAGGCAATATGGTGTAATATTATCAACCTCATCAATCACAGGAGATTGATGGGCAATAGATTAGATTTATTCCAGTGGAATGCAAAGCCAGAATATGACCTGACGACCTTGATCAACCCCCAATGAAGTACTTGTGTCACCTAAGAACAACAAACCATCATCTGTGCATAATGCTAACTTCTCTTTTGATTTTCCTCTTCTAAAACCCATATAGTAGAGTCCTCTTGTATAGCTGCTGCTAACGGCTCGATGGCTAAAGGAAATAGAAGAGGAGAAGACAGGCAGACCTTGTCTAGTACCTCTCAAAGGAGTATGACAAGGCATTATGAATCCTACGGCAGGCTCTTGGGGCATGATAGAGAAGTTTGAGGACCCATTACAAATAATGCCTTTCTACGCTGTCAAATGCCCTTGCGGCATCCAATGACAGAACGGTTCCATTTCCAGAGTTAGATGCAGGTAGCTGGAGATTGAAATAGAGTCTGTGTGTATTGACAATTGTGGATCTGTTTGCAATTAATCCTGACTGATCAGCATGGATCGGTTTGGCTAGGTCTGTAGGCCAACGGTTAACAATAACTTTGGCCAAATTTTTTTGAGATTGGGCGTCAAGAGCGAAATGGGTCTACTGGAGTCTGGGAGCTTTGGGTCCTTTCCTGGCTTTAGAATCACTACAACAGCTGCTTCATACGTGGATTGTAGCATTGTGCCCGGTTCCTAAGCAGCAGATATCGTTGAGAGAAGTTCTCTGGCTGTTATGGTCTCTGTTGTATCGTTTCTCTTGGAAGGTCTCCCTCCTCCCGTACTTGGCTAATTCTTCACCATCGTACCCTGGGCAGCAGGAGCCATTTCCACCCTTTCCTCTCTGCTGGGGTTCTTTGCATCCATGTGTCATGGGGGGGAAACATGCTGAAAGAGGAGTGATTCCCCATCCTATCTGTACAGGGATTTGGGACTTTTCTTGGCTGCCTTGCTGCAGAAGATATGGACAGCGCGTTGTTGGGTACTTTTTAGAAGGACAACGAGGGGGAGACCCACATCACCAATGCCTGGGGGTTCTTTGGATTAATGGGGAAATCACAAGGCTTGGAAAGCCACATGGGAAGTCTCTGTGGAAGACAGGAAGTGATGTCAGGTACAGAGAGGAAGTGATGTCAGGTTATAAATAGGAAATTCCCCAGTGAGAGGCGAGTCGGGAGGAAGTAGACAGGAGACATTGGTGGAAGTGGCAGCAGAGGAGGTAATACGATGTTATTTTATATTTACACCCAGTAACCTCCCGTCATGTCCGTCCTCTTCCTCCATCGTCATGTCCATCCGCTTCCTCCATTGTCATGCCCATCCTCTTCTTTCATCATTGCATCCGTTCTCTTCCTCCATTGTCTTGTCCATCCTCTACCTCCATTGTCATGTCTGTCCTCTTCCTCCATTGTCATGTCCATCCTCTTCCTCCATTGTCATGCCCATCCTTTTCCTTCATTGTCATGTCTGTCCTCTTCCTCCATCGTCACATCTGTCCTCTTAATCATCCTATCCGTCCTCTTCCTCCATCGTCCTATCCGTCCTCTTCCTCCATCGTCACGCCCGTCATCTTCCATCGTCACACCCGTCCTCTTCCTCCACTGTCATGTCTGTCCTCTTCCTCCACCGTCATGTCCATCCTCTTCCACCGTCACAACCGTCCTCTTCCTCCATAGTCACTGTGACGTCTTTTATCTCCAGCAGATGATGATACACACATATATAGTGTGGGAACCCAGATTAACCCCTTCAGGGGCAGAACATTCCCCCACTTCCGTGGCCGGAACATTCTCCTAATTTTGGAGATGTGTCACTTTTCCCAACTAATGTATTATATGACTTGTCCTGGGAGTGAGGGTTCGGGGTTTTATTTGGAAGTACAGGAAATCAGATTTGGGGTTTTTTTTTTTTGCTGTAAAATGATCAGTTTGACAGTGGCAGTTCAGATCAAAAGGGAGGGTCCTCCTCGTCTTTGCTCACATGACACAACTGGGAGGAGCACATCCTTTACTCTGAACTGCTGCTGATCAGTAAGGAGATCTACATTAAAGGGGGTGGGTCTGTACTGGGGGGTCTGTACTGAAGGGTTAAGATCAGAAGGAGTCAGTACTCCGGAGTTAGGCTGAAAGGTGGGAGGATGGACTCTGCTGAGGGGGTCTGTATGGAGGGGTTTAGCCTGAAGCTGAGGGAAGGCCATCCCTTGTTATGAACTGCCACTGATTGATAAGAAGATCTGCACTAAAGGGGAGAGTGTACAATAGAGTTAGTCTTGGAGGGGGTGTCTGTACTGGAGCGGTAGATGGAAGAATGGATCTGTACTTAGAAATTTGTACTGAGGGTTTAGGTTCAGAAGGGCTGTCTGTTCTGATAAGTTGGGATATGAGTGTGGGGGAGGGGGGGTGGTCTGTACTGAGGGGTTACACTGGAAAGAAGGGGTGTACTGAGGGGTGACTTTACTGTGGAATCTGTACCAAAGTGTTTGGATGGGAGGGAGTCCCATCCAAATATGCTAGGTGCACCAGTGCCAGCTGGCCAAAGGGCAAGAGGTTCCTGGATCAAAAAAAATGGCAAATGCTAAAATAAATGTTCCTCTGTGTGCAATGCTACTTGGGACTGTTCTTCCATGATAGAGATCTTCATATTATCCCCCCTCCCCCCCATCCTAATATTGTACAACCAGTACAGTCCAGATCATTCTCTGTTATCAATTATTGGTCTACAGGAAACCTGTATAGATCACATGACCAATGAGGATGGAGGAAGACCGGAGTCACATGACTGAGAGGATACTAAACCTCACCCTGGAGATCATCTACCTGCTGACCGGAGAGGTGAGGAGGATTCTGGGAGGTCCCATGACATCACTCTCATCTCTATTAATAAAACACAGACCTGACCGGAGAGGTGAGGAGGATTCTGGGAGTCTAACATGATGTTCCTATTGGTTCCCCAATACAGAGATTTCCTCTTCTGAAGTCAGGTGATCATATGACCATCACAGTGCCTCCATGTGACTCCCTAAACCCTGAGAGACACAACATGCAGAAGATTCTAGAAGTCACCAAGAAGATGATGGAGCTGCTGACAGGAGAGGTGAGCAGTGCCAGGAATTCTGGGACATTCTCCAGTATCAGACAAGGGATGTGTCTGGATGGTGACTGTATCATTGTGTGTGTCAGGTCCCTATAAGGTGTCAGGGTGTCACTGTCTATTTCTCCATGGAGGAGTGGGAGTATTTAGAAGGACACAAGGACCTCTACAAGGACGTCATGATGGACAATCAGCCGCCTCTCACATCACCGGGTAAGAGGAGACTTTATTGGAAAGGAGAGAGCAGTACGGAGGATCCACCTAGATCCCCCATCATCTGATAAACACATAGAAACAATGGATTCAGTCAGTGTGCGTGTTTCCTACAGATGGATCCAGTCATGGGAACCCACCAGAGAAATGTCCCCGTTCTCTGTATTCCCGGGATTCAACACAGGAAGGTCACACCATCCCTCACCATCATCAGGTAGATGGATCCAGTCATGGGAACCCACCAGAGAGATGTCCCCGTCCTCTGTATTCCGGGATTCCACACAGGAAGGTCACACCATCCCTCACCATCATCAGGTAGGTGAACAGAGCAACTAGAATACAATTCGAAGCTATGACAGGACATTCTTTCATGTATTCATTTGTTCCTTGTTATGAATCCATTCTATTGCATTTACGCTTTAGGCTGAAGTACTGAAAGACATCAAAATTGAGGTTAAAGTGGAAGAAGAAAAGATGTTTGGCAGTCAGCAGTCTATGGTGGAGGATGGTCCACAGATGATGGAGTTGCTGACAGGAGAGGTGAGCGGTGCCGGGAATTCTGGGACATTCTCCTGTAACAGACAAGGGATGTGTCTGGATGGTGACATCATCATGGAAAATGGATCCAGTCATGGGAACCCACCAGAGAGATGTCCCCGTCCTCTGTATTCCTGGAATTCCACAGAGGAAGGTCACACCATCCCTCACCATCATCAGGTAGATGGATCCAGTCATGGGAACCCACCAGAGAGATGTCCCCGTCCTCTGTATTCCTGGAATTCCACAGAGGAAGGTCACACCATCCCTCACCATCATCAGGTAGATGGATCCAGTCATGGGAACCCACCAGAGAGATGTCCCCGTCCTCTGTATTCCCGGAATTCTACACAGGAAGGTCACACCATCCCTCACCATCATCAGGTAGATGATTGACAATCACTGATAGTTACTTATATATTCATAATCTTGTTTCTTTTAATAAGTGTTTTATGAAATATTTAGACTGGAAACTTCAGGGATTATAATATTGTTGTTAAAGAAGAGTATAAAGAAGAGGATGGGGAGTTTGGTGTGATGAAGGCTGGAATGAGGAGAACATTCATAGAGGACACTCCTACAGAGATCAGCACAGGTGACCAGAATATATTCTTCTATTATCTTCTTATCTCTGCTCTGTTACCACCCCCCCCCCCCCAAGCCCTTATTGGTTCCTGCTCCTCTGACAAGGCGGGAGGACCAAAGGCCCTTTGACTGAAGAGGGGAGGAGTCCCAGCTGGTTGGGACATCCACAGAGAACATCTGCTCCCTCCTATCTCCCTGATCCAGATGGAATCTTGATGGAAGTGAACTAACCCTCTCCTATCTATTGATGATGTTTTTCTATTTTTCCAGGACCCGCCATGGAGAAACCCTCAAAGGATCGTCTCACTTTATCTCCAGGTTGTAAAATGGAAGATGAGGACATCCCAGCAGATTGTGTCGAAGAAAAGACAATGAGCTCCACTATGGATGGTGGACTTCCCAGTGTGGAGAGACCATGGAATTCCTCTGACTCTGAGCAACCATGTACTGTGGGGGATGGGGCCGGGGTTCAGGGGGAGAAGACATTTTCTTGTCCTGAATGGGGGGAAATATTTAGCTCAGAGTTAAATCTAAATCTTCAAAGAGATGACAAGGGAGAGAAGCTTCATTCCTGTTCTGAGTGCGGGAAATGTTTTCTTCTTAAATCAGAACTGGACATACATTACAGATCTCACATGGAGGAAAATTTGTATTCCTACCCGGACTATGGAAAATATTTTCTAGAAAAGTCCTCTCTTTCTGTACATCAGAGTTTACACACAAGAGAGAAGCCGCATTCCTGTTCTGAATGCGGGAAATGTTTTTTACGAAAACCAGACCTTCGTGTGCATCAAAGAACTCACACTGGGGAGAAACCTTACTCCTGCCCTGATTGCGGGAAATGTTTTTCACTGAAGGCCCATCTTGCCAGACATCAGAGATTGCACACGGGCGAGAAACCATATACCTGTACGGAGTGTGGGAAATGTTATCCACAGAAATCCAGTTTTTCTAAACATCAGATATTGCACACAGGCCATAAGTTGTATTCCTGTCCTGAGTGCGGGAAACGTTTTTCACAGAAGGCCCATCTTTCCAGACATCAGAGATTGCACACGGGCGAGAAGCCATATGCCTGTACTGAGTGCGGGAAATGTTATCCGCAGAAATCAGACCTTCGTGTACATCAAAGATCTCACACAGGTGAGAAGCCTTACTGCTGCCCTGAGTGCGGGAAATGTTTTTCACAGAAATCCATTTATTCCAAACATCAGACATTGCACACGGGCCAGAAGTTGTATTCCTGTCCTGAGTGCGGGAAATGTTTTTCACAGAAGGCCCATCTTTCTAGACACCAGAGATCGCACACAGGCGAGAAGCCATATGCCTGCCCTGAGTGTGGTAAACATTTTTCCCAGAAGGTCTGTCTTTCGAGACATCAAAGATTACACACTGGTGAGAAGCCGTATTCCTGTCCTGAATGTGGAAAATCTTTTTCACAGAAGTCCCATCTTTCCAGACATCAGCGATCGCACACAGATGAGAAGCCATATGCCTGACTTGCGTGCGGGAAACGTTATACACAAAAATCAGACCTACCTTGAAGATAAAATATCCCTAAAGGGATCACCGGCGGGAGGAAGGAGGTCCTGATTCCTCTATATGGATCTTTATATCGCTAGAGGGGTCACTGGCGGGAGGAAGGAGGTCCTGATTCCTCTATATGGATCTTTATATCACTAGAGGGGTCACTGGCGGGAGCAAGTAGGTCCTGATTCCTCTATATAGATCTTTATATCACTAGAGGGGTCACCGGCGGGAGGAAGGAGGTCCCGATTCCTCTATATAGATCTTTATATCACTAGAGGGGTCACCGGCGAGAGGAAGGAGGTCCTGATTCCTCTATATAGATCCTATCACTAGAGGGGTCACCAGCAGCAGAAAGGAGGTCCTGATTCCTCTATATAGAACTTTATATCACCAGCAGGAGGAAGGAGGTCCCGATTCCTCTATATAGATCCTATCACTAGAGGGGTCACCGGCAGGAGGAAGGAGGTCCTGATTTCTCTATATAGAACTTTTTATCACCAGCAGGAGGAAGGAGGTCCCAATTCCTCTATATAGATCCTATCACTAGAGGGGTCACCGGCAGGAAGAAGGAGGTCCTGATTCCTCTATATAGAGAGTTCACCAACAGGAGAGCACCTCAGAAATTATGTGGCTGAGTTCTCCTTTAATCTTTATATGTTCTGAATAAAGTTTTAACTCCTATAGCTCAGAGTCTTTATTCCTGAAAGAGGAGACATCCATCTGTCCCAGATACTAGAGACTTTAAATGTATATCTGGAGATAGAAGGTTGTGTCACATCTGGTTGAGTCCCTCTAGCAGTGTTGTCCATCTGCCCTCTTAAGAAGAAGATTTGAAGACATCGTGATGAGAGAGGAGCTAGATATTGTTTCTGGAGGAAGAAAAGAGGAATGCCGACTACATGTCAGGATTGGTCATTTGAGTCGGTCACAGGCAGCTTCTTTTGTATGGAGAGAGCCACCCGCTGTCCTAAGGTGAAAAATATTTTCAGATGTAACATTTTAATATTCAACACAACAAACACTTTTCGCCTGCGCTAGGAATGGACTCAGTAGAACCAATAGGAATGTTCTGGAATATTCACTGCTTGCTGCCCTCAGCAGACCGGGGTGGTCCAAATACACTAAATGCAAATGAAGAAACAAAAAAGAGGGCGCACCGACCTAGTGCATTATCGTTTACAAATGTATTTTTGAGGACACAGGACAGAGCCTGAGGAAGAGGTTGTGTCCTCGAAACGCGTTAGCCAGTTGGTCATCCAGGGTTCCATCATATGGACTCAGATGCTATTTGGATCAAACATCTTGTTTGACATGCCTGTGTTTTTATGTCTATTGTGAGTATGATACTTACTTTTTTCCTTCAATAAATACATTTTTAAACAATAATGCACTAGGTCGGTGCTCCCTCTTTTTTGTTTCACCATTTGCATTTTAATCACCTGATTAAAAATGTAAATATATGAATACATTATTTTAGTATGAAACCAATAAAAATTACATTTTTGGATTCCTAAAAATCATGATATTCATTGGAAGTTTCTTAATAAAAGTCTGCCTTCAGGTTTGTATCATGAAATGTTCTTTTTTTGTTTCCTTCATTCCTTTAGTGAACACTACAAATAAAGTAGGCCTAACCGATGTATGCCTAACTTTCATTTTATCCATGGTGATGGGGGGGGGGGTTATATGGGAGTGATATCGTGAGTGATCTATGGAGATAGAGAGTGAGTCTCTAAAAGAATAGACCCTGTTTAACTGAAGAAGTAGCTCCAGTGTGGACTGAAGAGCTAGCGATCAATCAGCGTGCCTCAAGCATAGAGCTTTACACCAGTTATTGTTACCGGTGACTTTATTGTGAGCTCCACCAGGGGCGGACTGAGAACTCATCGGGCCCCCGGGCAATAGGGGATCATGGGCCCCCCCGTATCCTCGCCCACACTTAAACCACACCCAAAAAGGCTATGAAAGGTACTAGGGGCATCTCATGGGGTCCCCTACTGACCCTGGGCCCTCGGGCAGTGCTTGAGTTCCCCAATGGTCAGTCCACCCCTGAGCTCCACTCAATTTCCAGACTGCACTACCGTATACTAATGTATACATCTGTTTAGTTGTGTTTGACCATACAATGCATCTTGTCATGTTTCATGTATGGTTTAGTTCATGCTATATAGATAGCTCCACCCCTTTGTTCATGTTCCCAGTAATGCACCTCTGCTTCAAGCCTCCTGTCTCATGGAGAAGATCACATTATGATCTTTTGACCTATCTGATGTTCATTGTTGTAAGATTCTCTCAGTTTATGGAATAAACTTCACAAGATCTACAAGGTGTCGTCTGGATCGAGTCACTGCCTGTGTTATTCATCTAAGATTGGAGTTACCGCTATCTCATCAAAACTGTAAGTTACAGAGATCACACTTTCAATGCTTAGATTGGAGAGACAGAACACATCTGTTCCTCTCATGAGTCTTCACTAAGAGGAAGCAGCATCTAGAGCAGCCATTTACAACCAGAGTTCCATAGAACCCTAGGGTTCCTCAAGAGTTTGCTAAAGGTTCCATGAGCTGCCGTGTCAAATACCTTGGTGGAGGCCAAAGTGGTGAGAGGGTTTCCCTTGCGGCTCTGGTCCAAACACACCTGAATGTGGGAACAGGCATGCAAGACTCAGGATAACACAGGTGCCGGGACCTGGATGGTCCGAAAGGATGGTGGTTGATGCAGATAAGAGAGCACCTCACGGTCAGCAGTGGTAGACAGTCAGTGCAACTGATTGTGTAGGAATGCCAGAGAGAGCTAGGAAGGCAGACCAGGTAGCCAGGTTCTGAAGGAGCAGATGGGAAGGTGTAGTCTGGAATCTGGAGCCACGGTCATACACAATCAGATGTCAAGAGCCAGGCCAGGGTCCTACACAGATAAGCAGAGGTAGAAGGACCAGAGTCCAGAGAAAAGCTAGGACAAACTCAGGAGATCAAGTAGGAGTGAGGTCAAGCAGCAAGTCGGAATCACAATCAGGAGAGAGTCAGAAGGAAAGCCAGAAAAATCCATCCCCCATAGCAACGGGAGCAGATCAGCACTGCAGAGGTCCTCAGCCTGCACACAGGTGAAGAAGAGGAACAGCTAAGTGAAGAGCACTCATGGAGCTAGCGCTAGGTGCTTGGTGGGGCTCCATACCATTACTGGGAGTGAGGTAGGGGAGATATGCTGGACATGTGGAGTGGGCATCAGCTCTATGTGTCCCTCCTAAAAGCACAAGTGACCGTGAGTTGAAATTGAAGGGCCACGCCACTGCTAAGAGCTCATAGAAACAACTGTATTCCATTAAAAGTCAAGGGGTACATTTCAAGAAATAGCCAATGCATTTCGGGGTTCTACATGCTCCCTTCATCAGGGCTAGAAAGAATATAAGATTTTCATATCAATCTGACATCAGGGGACACTGTATCGATGTCAGATTGACATGAAAATCTTCTTATATTCTTTCTAGCCCTGATGAAGGGGGCACATAGACCCCCAAAATGCGTTGGATACTTCTTGAATTATACCCTTGGCCTTTAATGGAATAAAGTTGTATCTGGACCTCTTAGCAGTGGTGTGGTGCTTCATATTTCAACTCTTCCTATTGTCAGGGAATTCCAGTGAGACGTTCTAAAGGAATTCCAGAGTGGTGGTGACTGGCGCATAGCATCACTCGTAGAAATGTGCATAGGCCAATCACTACTATAAATTAATGGTATGCTCTTGCTCACTGTTAGTGCCGACTGGTCTTCCAGTGTGTTCCCTTGTTAATGACCCAGATTGTTCCTGACCTAATCTTGGATTCTGCTCTTGATTTGTTGCCAGTTCTGGAACCAGCTTGTTCCTGACTTTGCTTATTATTTGGTACCCTGCTGCCCACCTGGTGATGACCCTGGCTAATCCTGTGACTTCGCTTCTGTCTCCGATCGTGGCTTCCCGACCTGTTCGAGTGCCTACTCGGCAGGTCTGCACCTTGCTGAGTGTTCAGGCCACCAGTCTGATGAAAGCTCTGACAAACTACACATCCAGGGCCTACAGCACAAGTCGAGAGCCCCTCTAACCTTGGCTGGATTACTGAGCACGGCTGCTGTTCCTGATCTGATGGTTCACCAGTCTCCTTGGACCACATCTTCTGCTGCAGGATCTCCTATCAACATCTGCTGGCACTTGTGTTCCTCCTGTCCCTTGGCACCATCTGTTCCACTCTCAGTTAGGGAACCAGCTTGTTTCTGACTTTGCTTATGATTTGGTACCCTACTACCCGCCTGTTGATGACCCTAGCTAATCCTGTGACTTCGCTTCTGCCTCTGATCTTGGCTTCCTGACCTCTTCGAGTGCCTGCTCTGCAGGTCTGCACCTTGCTGAGTGTCCCGGTCGCCAGTCTGATGAAAGCTCTGACAAGCTACACATCCTGGGCCTACAGCACAAGTGGAGTGCCCCTCTAATCTTGGCTGGACTACTGAGCACGGCTGCTGTTCTTAACCTGATGATTCACCAGTCTCCTTGGACCACCTCTTCTGCTGCAGGATCTCCTATCAACATCCGCTGGCACTTGTGTCCCTCCTGTCCCTTGGCACCCTCTATTCCACTCTCAGTTAGGGTACCAGCTTGTTCCTGACTTTACTTATGATTTGGTACCCTGCTACCCGCCTGTTGATGACCCTGGCTAATCCTGAGACTTCGCTTCTGTCTCCGATCTTGGCTTCCGGACCTGTTGGAGTACCTACTCTGCAGGTCTGCACCTTTCTGAGTGTTCCGGCTGCTAGCCTGATGAAAGCTCTGACAAGCTACACGTCCTGGGCCTGCAGGACAAGTGGAGTGCCCCTCTAACCTTTGCTGGACTACTGAGCACGGCTGCTATTCCTAAACTGATGGTTCACCAGTCTCCTTGGACCACGTTTTCTGCTGCAGGATCTCCTATCAACATCTGCTGG